AGATGCAAGAAGCAGAACCATTGGGCCCCATTTCCCATAGCTCCTTACTAATTGTCTTATTCTTAATCTACAGTCAGCTCTTTACAGCTTGTATTCCCTGTGTCTGCAAGCACTTGCTGTCAAATGATCTTCCAAATCATTTCATTCCACATCTTTGAACCATCGCAGAAGGCCCACATTTGCCAGAAAGAAATCTGCTGATGAGTAGGATGTTAGGGTGGACAGTTATGGTGTGTATTTACCTGCCTGCAGGTAATTGCTGTAGCCGTGCAACCACTTCTGCAGCTGACACTGATAGCCCTCATTCCATCAGTATAACCCCCCACAGGAGAAAACCTCGCTTAACTCTATTAATAGTGTGCACGTGTGCTCACTAAGTATCTATAGCTGCTCAAGAATTACAAGAACCTGGCATGTTGGCAGGGAAGAGTTTGCTCCAAGGAGGTCGTAAATGTCTCGTGCCCCATGAGAAAACAAGAAAGGTTTCTCAACTGAGTCCTAACCCTGATGTTTTACTGCATAGATTCACTACCAAGGGCAGGTGAGAGGGTCGGAAGATGAAATAGTTAATCTAGCAACAGCTCTGTAGAAGCTGTTGGTGGAGAAGGAGGTAGCAGCTTGACCCATCTATCCTCATGTGTCTCCCACTGCTATCAGATATCACCTCCCGTAAGCTCATGCTCAGAGCAAGGAGACAAAAATTGCTATTGACAGAAGTACCCTGCAGACAACATCCTCTGCTGCAAAGCTGCTAGCTTCTTGCATGGTGGAAACCTATTTTAAATCAGAACACAACACTAATGTTATGGGAAGATCTTGTTGTATATAGGTTTCAGGATTAGGGAGGAAGAAAACAAAAGTACAGCCTGCCTTGACAAATATTGTCAGACATTTAAAGGTGCTATCTTCCAGAGCTGATCTGTGCTAACACTTCCAGGGCATCAGGGAATGTTGTCATTGATAAATATTAACCATGGGAAATGGCTGTTTCAAAGACATAGCTGATGGTATGGCCAACAACAACGTGATCATGTAATGCATGGCCACAAACAAAGTTAATAAGCATTGGCATCCTACAGCGTTAACCATCACTCTCAGTGATCAAAAAATAAAACCCCGGTGAGCCATTCTGCAATGGCAGAGGCAAAGTTATTGAAGGATTATTTGAGAAAGAGCAAGGAGGCAGTAGTATGTCATCGGAATTTGGGATCACTACTTTGATTTACTGTTGAAAACTCTTTGTACTTTGAGATCTCAAACCCCAAAACAAAGCTAAATCTTCGCTTAGGCACTACGATTCCCTCCCTTATCACATTATTGGAGTACATCACACTCTAATTATAATTATCTGAACAACACTTAGTGAGATTGGGAAGTACTAACCTTTTTGGAGAAGCCCTTGAACACAGTAAAACTGAGCCAGAAACAATCTTAAGGTTTTAAATGCCAGTAAAGTACGCTGCAACCAGTGGAAAAAATAGTGTTCTTACACCACCACCAGCACTTCAGGAAATTTGCCTCTTCATTACCATTAACTCAGAGCCTGAACTCCTAGCTCAAAATTCAGAACAAAGTTGTTGTTATTATTATGAGGGGAAAAAAATGCATTATAATATTTGTATTTCTAAAAGCATCATTAAAACATATCAGTAATCATTCAAAGAAAGGAGTAATACTTACAGCATCTCAGTGGGGTATTACATCTTACTCTCAAGAGGCACCCAGAAGTGCTTCTCAATATTTTAGTATCTGTTAGGCAGTGATTGCAGTTTATTTATCTCTCTCTAGTGGGTACAGCAGTAGAAGTTAAATATTCCATCTTCCTCTCCAAAGGATATAAGGGACCGTATCCCCGTACTCAAGCAAAGAAAATCTCTCTTCATATCACATTCTGGTGTGGGAAATGGCCTATGTGTGCCTGAGTGAGCGTGGATCACTGACCACATCTGTCTACACATTTCTACGAGGCAGCCTCTGTGAAGCCTTTGAGAAGAGCTTCAGGGAGTTCAGATCTGGTGCAGATGCTGCTGAATGGTTGAGGCTGAATTCAGCTGAGGAGTTTCCACCTCTTCTATTTCATGACTTTTCTTGTTTGGTGTTGCTTTACACGCTAGGCCATGGAGCCAGGTATTCCACCAAATCTCAGGTTTGTTTTGGTTTTCTTTGTTGTGTTGAAGTACAAGTCAGACTCTGCTGTTGTGCTTTTAAAGCTGACCACTGCTTCAGTAGCCTCCACCCTGCTAGCTTTAATTTTCCCAAATCTGAGTTCCAGAGTCCATCATGATGAAAAATAAAGGTATGGTTACACTTCCAGCAAGACTTTGTTTGTGATACTTTGTGGATTAAAAAAGCCCTCAATACCCTATAGATCACCAGAGTTCATGATAGCACCTTCAAGCCTCACTGAAAGTTTAATAAGCTGCTGCAGAGTTATATGATACCTGTTAAGTTTATGGAAAAATTTATCCAGTCTGCTGCTGTTATTAGGTATCAAGTACCACAGACACTAGAGAGGACCCTGAGCCAGTATCTATGAGCTGATCTATAGCAAAAATATTGGGAAGAATATTTTGGATTCCCAGGCTTTGATACAGGTCCAAATTTCACAATAATTTGGTGTTTCTATAAAAAGTTGGCCAGAATGACCAATCTCAGTATTCCTAAAAACTGGAAATAGAAGAAAAACCTCAAGCTCATCTAGAATTTTCTGTTTGGGGCTAACTGTCCTCTTTCTTTGTGCACCTCTGCTTGACTTATATAAGCACCAGGAAATGAAGGTCTCCAACCACTAAAGAGGAATAGCCCGAACACTGCTAATAACAGCCCATCCTGTCCTGCTGATGCGTTTCAGTCCTGTGGAGGAAGGGATGGCTTCATGGCCTCCGCGGAAGAGAAAGTTCTGCTGAGGGGCCCATTTCATCCAGAAGTTTAATAATGTAAGGCCGTTTTACAGAGGCCAAAACCCTCCATCAATCCATCAGTGCTGCAGACAGAAGGGGCTTAGGGAACATTTCAGTCTTGCAGACTTTGCATCTCTTAACTGAGTTTCTGGAAGTGGAACATTTATTTGGGCTGTTGCCCATGTCCACACTGTGAATGAACATGCAAGTTCACAAAGCACCTTTCAATGGACAGAGCTCTCTCCTGCATGCATCTACCTGTTGTGGGAGCTTAGTTACCTGTGATACTTCTACCTCTTTATCAGCTCTGGATAAATCCAACCAACTACCTTAAAAGTTATTGGAGAAGTACATACAGACTGTATGTATATAAAGTACATACGGAAGTACATACAGAAGTACATACAGATGGCCCCACTAGACACACACAAGCACAGAGTCATTGAAAAGCCTATTATTTCATAGGAAATCAGGGTGAGAAGATGATTTAGATTTATTTTTTCCTTAATGAATAGGAGAGGATAAAATCACACTCTGAATGTATTTCCTCTAAATCAGCACACCGTAATGAAGAGGCTCAAAGAAATGACCATTCAACCTCAGAGGCCCTGTTACGCTGGGAGCGATTTAATTTCATTGTGTGAACTGCCATAAAAATAAGCACTGGGATCATTAAAACCTGGATTTTGGATTGCCTTGCTGGAGAGCCATCGGGAGTGACAAACCAGCTGATGGCAGAGGGATGCACGGACAAACATGCTTTTAGCAGGAGCAGTCCCAGCTGAAGGGCTCTCCTCCGCCTGGCAGACAGGGCAGGTGTGTCACTTCCAGATGTGACATGAGCCACTTACTTCTTGTTCACAGCCTTTGAAGTGCTGTGCAGAGAAAGCCTGAGCCGTTATCGCAATTAGAGTAGATACATCATTTACTGGAAGAATTAAACGCACTGTAGTAGCAAACCTGCAGTTGACACTCGCAGGGTGCAATTTAAATCCTCCGGATTAGTAATTCTTTTGAGATCTTTGTAATCATTGGTAATAGGTAGTGAAATAAATCCACATTTATATCCTACAGACTGCAGCTGTGCTTCTGTTAAAGCAGTATTAACTGAAGGCTTTTAAATCCTTCTGCCGGCTCGAGCTGTAAGCACCGAAACTCCTGTGCAGAGGATACATCCTGGGTGATGTATGTTCCTGAGCATGAAAGTGCTGGTTGATGAATAATGAAAGCACCAAGGCAGAATCACACCCCGGGGCTTCGCTCCTGCAGTAAGCTCTCAGGGGAGAGGTCCCGGTGCAGTTTGCTGTGCAACAGCTACCCAGCTGCTGCTAAGACTGGATGTGGCTATGGATAACTGTGATAGAAAATAATACAACATACTAATGTATTTTTACCCAGATGTACAAAGCACTGAACCTCCTCTTGTTCAGTCAAGTGAGGGGTTCATCCAGCCAACTCTGGTATTGTTCCTTCAGGTATCAGGAGTGCACACCCTCACCTTGACTTACTGCACAGGCTCCCAGTTAACTAAACAAATACGCCATTAATGGCTGAGCCAACATTGAGGGGGACATACGGGTTTAAATTGTAGCAGGAAGAGATTTATGGACTTGTTTTCCAAGCCTAGAGAGTAACTGAAGAGTCCTCAGACAGTTCAACAATTACCAGTTCTGATAAGGGAAGGCAGCACTTTACTAGGGACAAGACAGGAGTGGTGATGGGTACTTGGCTTTGCTGTGGGCCACCATCCCAGAGCGGGGACCCAGAGTGACAGCCACTCTAGGAACAGAATGAAGCTCTGCAAACTCAGTATGCTTGTTAAGATAAGCACAGTGCTGATAAAGCACAGAGAGATTTAAAATCTCAAGAGAACTGCATTAGTGGCAGGCTGAAGAGCCCAGAAATCCTCGCTCTCCCTTCCTTCACCCAGGCTTCAGCCCCATCTGCCCAAAAATCATCAGCTTAGAGATGGTTTGTGACCAACCCTACAGCAGAATAATTTACACAACCTGGGAGGAAAAGGGAACAAAACAGAGCTGGCAGAAGCGCATTTACCTGGTTCTATTCCTTACACGTTACATTTGCTTTCTTTTCATTTAGGAATCTACAAAGGACATTGCTTCCGAATCAACCATTTCCCTGAAGACAATGACTATGACCATGACAGCTCAGAATACCTTCTCCGTAAGTGAAAAATAATACCTAATACACAGAGGCCAGAGAGATGTTCCTGGGTTTCTATTCTGTAGAGTGGAAACAAGCAAGCCTTACTCGCTGGGAGAGCCTGGTCCAAACTGGGTGGTACAGAGCAGTGGTGATATATGCCCAATTCACGCTGCCCCTGGCACAACCGTGACCCTTGGAGACCTCCATTTCAGGGGTTTCCTTCAGCCAGTGGAATGCTCATGATTGTGGTGCCCATTCTCTAAATAAATGGAAATCTTTCAAATGAGAACTACAGCCATCATTCCCAGCTTGGCGAGGGTATTTTATAGAGGGAGTATTTATCTGATTAGGGTATCAAAACCAGTTTGAGGAGTGGGTTAAGCATTTCCTAATGCTTAAACCCAACCCTTATGCAAGCCTCATCCTTTGCAGCTGCTGAGCCACCTCCCCCTGCAGTGATATTACTGCATTGTAGGAAGGAAGCTGAAATTTCTGCAGCTAACAGCAAAATCTCAGCGTGAACATGGGCTGTGGCTTCCCTGCATGGAGAGCCAGCCATTGCTGCTCTGTGCTGGTGTGTGATCTGCCATGGAAGTAACTTCATGCACCAACCTGGTGTTTGAAATAAGGGCAATCATTTCAGCTCCTCCCAATGACCATTTGCTCAGCTGGTGGGAAGTCTTGGAACCTGCGAGGTTTGAGTTAGATTTCCCCCTCCCCAGAAGACACCCAGCCTCACTGTTCCTTTTGAACAGAGGAGCTGGCCAGCCAAGCTGAAAGCAGTGCCCTTTACCAGAGAAAGTTCACAAGGCGTTGGGAAAGCTTCAGGGAGCAATGAATGAGCTGATGGCTGATATACCCAGCAAGTCAAAACACTTCTCAATTACACTGCTATTAATTACCTGAAACATCACTTAGAGAACCACTCTGCCCTTCTGTTCACTTCTGGGAAACAAATTCTAGTTACTAACACAAGAAGAGAATATCAATCATCTCCAAAAAGGACACTTTACCAGAAAACCCCGGTTTTTTTGCTCTTTACTCCTGTCAGTTTGGATCAGTCATAGTGCTTGGGTGACATGATTTCACCGCTGAGGCAAAGGCAGGGTAGCAGAGTGAGCACAGCTGCATTTATCTTTCATACAAAGACTTGGAATTAATGTTAAATGGGTGCCAAGTCAGCTTTAAGAAACAAACATCATTAGTAAAAGGCCTATAAAGGAATGAAGAATTAAGTAGCATCTTGATAAAAGCGTATTATGCCTTCTTGATTTGGAGAGAAGGGAGAACTGGGAAAAACAGTCTACAGCTCTGCAGTAAGACATGAGATTGGTAAATTGGTTCTAAGTGTACTTGTGACGGGTGTTCCTAAAAGCTGTTTTCAAAAGTGACTAAGTACAGATCTTAAGAACAAGTTGGTCCAACCCTTTATGTTTTCTGCAAATGAGCCCCACAGAGGAGAGCTCATCCTCACATCGTCTGCACAGACAACAGGACTCCTCTGCTTAACTCTTGTAAGAAAAACCAAAGTTCCACTTAAAATGCATACAGTTGATTTAGAGATTACTAAAGGGCAATGTATCTAAATCCAGAAGAGATGAGATCATATGTACATGTAATAGGGATCGAATCATTGTCTAAGACAGGAGGATATTTGCGTCCTGTTTCAAAGGAGACGTGAGACGTTCCGTCCCATTTTTGCCCTCTGCACAACACCTTTGCGATCTGCTGTCTCTGTATCATTCACCGTGTTCTTTAGCCATTTTTTGGCACAAGTTTCTCAGAGGGCCATGTGAAGGGTAATCCTTATTGTTCCTGTCTGGCTTAGACAAATGTGCCAACGCTGTGTTCATCTGGCGCTCCTGAAAAAGCAGCATGAGAGGTCTCAGCCTGCTCCACAGTGACCACTCCAACAGAGGCTTCAGATAAATATAAACATTATGGTGCTAGCAGAATCAAGCACTGGTTCAAAAGCCTATTGAAATCCGTGAAAAAGGACCAATTTTAGGAGACTTTGGTCGAGGTTATAGGTAGGAGCAGGAGTTTGGATTTTGTCCTTTGGCATTTAGGCTGCTCCCTGCAAAACCAAGTGAGAACCAGCTACAGCGACCACTAGCACGTGCAAAAGAGCTCAAACAAGATCCCTCGTGCTGAACCTTCCTTATGACAACACAGACCAATCTGGATTTCTAAAAACATCCCCTTCACTAGGGCTGTGCAGAGCCCCAGCAAGTGGCAGGGGTACCACTGCCATGCCCAGAGAGCCCATGCAGTCCCCAGAGCTGGTGCCTGCATCACCCAACCCCAGGCATGTGCTCCAGCTTCCCCCCTTTCCTGTATTTCTGCAGCACATGGACACCAAGCTGCTCCAATCCAGCGCTGCGTGAAGCACATGCACCTCTCACTTTGCAGAAGAAGAGATTTCAGCCACACTCATCCTCACTGCGCGTGTGAGGCTCTGCTGCGACGCAGAAGCGCAGCCATAAGGAGGGGGACCCCGTTTCCAGGGCATGTCTACACATTCATCCACTTCTTTCCCCCATGTTACAGAATCCCCTTTTTAAAGCTGTTTGCTTGGCTCCTGCCTTTTGGAGGAGAATAAAAGCACGAGCAGAGCACTGGGGCTCACAGCCCCGTGGGGAGGAGCAGCGTGGCACGCTGCAGAGCTTCGCCAAAGGAGGTGTCACAAGGCATAGCAGTGCAGAACAGCCGATGTAAACAGACAGCATGGTAAACAAGGGGAAAAAAAGCAGGGGAGAAAGCAAACATCAGATTGCCTTAATGGGTTTTGATGTGCTGTCGTTTTATTACCAGTATCAGGAGCCATATGTAAATTCTACATGGTACCTATGAGCTGCCTTTTAAATTCCAGAGCTACACAGTGTAGGAGAAAATATACAGTAGAGTTCTACAGGAAGAGAACACTGTTTTCTTTCTCTTCATATTAATTACAAATACATATGAATAAAATTAATTCATATTAATTTTCTTTCTCTTCATATTAATTCAACTGTAGAAAAATTATCTCTGGAGATCATTGCTACAAGTAGAACAACCCACTCCCTATATTTGGCATGTCTGGCAAGTACCTTCCGATGATATCACTGAAGCATTTTAGGAAAGCTCTTTGATTTAATTGAAATCATTATAAACAGCATGACCATAAAATAGAGGAAGCAACGGCCAGAAAGGGTGGGCGAGAGTAGATTTTAAAGCCGTGCTGCCTTTTGCCAGGACACTAACAAACAGACAGTGATTTGGGGTGTCTTCATGTCCAGCAGCACAGAGATGACATTGAATCTGTTTCTAATAATTGACTTTAAAAACTGACCCAAAGGTCAAAGCACCATTACTTCATACCACACACGTGGGAATACACCCAGGACAACAGAACAGGCTCTCACCGCTCAACAGGCTTTGATTAGAAACCTTACACCCTCATTGCTTGGATTTGCCAATTATTGCAAGACACTGTCTGAATAGTAATGCATCGACTGAATTGGGTTTAGATCCGGTTAGAAAATGCCCTGTCTGTAAAGGACACGTGCAGCGACATTGCCAGTTTTGGTAGGAGACAGACTTTTCTCGCTGCTGCAGATCGATACAGGCATAAGCTTCCCAGGCAGGGACTGTCCTTTTAGCTTTATGTTTGCACCATCTTAATGAGGGCTGGGCCCGCAGCCGGGGCTCCTGGGGGGCTTTGAATCACTCACAAAAGCACATTAAATGCCCAGCCCTGTCCCTTTTGCAGTCAGCAGGAGTTTTGCCACCAGTTACCAGGGGAGTTGTTAGGAAACAATCCACTGAATTGGGAACGCCACAGCCATCCCAAGTAAAATGAGAAAGCATCAGCTGTAACATCTGGCTGTTTCTCCTTGGGAAACAGGCCCTGCTCTTGGATGGCACCCGGGAAAGCGCACACTGGGAGCGGCACCACAGCAGCAGATATGGCCATATGGAGGTTTGCTCCTCTCCATGCACCCCCTCCTGTGACAGCAGCCTCTGACCCCCATTCACCTTGGTCAACCCTATGCCCCGACATCCCCTTGCCCTGATGGGACTCCCCTCTGTGCCTTTGCCTCTCCACTGTCCCCAGCTTTGGGGCAATCCTGTTTTCCACAGCAGTATTCAGCACCTTATCTCCCCTTCTTCAACAAAATCCTCTCTCTCTCTCTCTCCAACAATATAACTCATTTCCTCGCTCTGCCTTTCAGGAACGCCTACCAGCTTTCACCCCTTTGGTTGTTCAATACAGACATCTCTCTCCTTGTGCTTGTTTATTTTTCTCTCAGCCTTTTTGTTCCCTCCGTGCCACTTCCCTTTCGATTGCTGCTTAGTCTTGTAGTGACCCGACTTTGAAAGCTGGATTGAAGTGGTGGTTTAAGTCTTTTTTTCAGGGATTTTCTAGCCCATTCTGGTGGATGGACTGGAGCAGACAGAATTTTAAATTACTCTACTTAGCTGTCAGAAAACTAAACACAAACATCTGAGACACACTTGTTGAAACTTCTCCCTTAACAACCTGAAAGGTTTCAACGGCCTCAATATTCAACGACAGAGAAAGGGGTTATTAGCTGTGCTCGCTGGCAGCGCAAATGCTGCAGGCTTCAAGAGCTGTAATTTGCTCACCTTTGCATGTATCACGGAAGGGATCTGTCTGCTGAAGCCATCCCCAAACGTAGGGTTCGCAGCCAGCTCATGAATTTTTCACTGCTGCTCCCTGCGTGATGCTGTCACTTTGCTCATGCTTTGCCAGAGATGCTCTGTACATGGTGGCTTCAGATAATGGTGATGACTCTGGATGTTCTAGGAAAAAGGGATTTAAGTTCCTCAGTTAAGAGTGTCCGTGCCACACTGACCACCTACCCTGGCACTGGCTCCCAAAAATGGGCCCAGAAATGCGGAATCTGTGATAATTCCAGCAAAAGCCAAAGGTTTTGAGACTTTGTAATCGCTATACTTGCACCCAAGGAGGCATCTGAAATTATTACTGTCTTGGTTTTCTACCTGTCTCCCCTCCAGGCATTGTCCGTGCCTCCAGTGTGTTTCCCATCCTAAGCACAATATTGCTGTTGCTGGGAGGACTCTGTGTCGGAGCAGGAAGGATTTACAACAGCAAAAACAACATTATTCTCAGCGCTGGGATTCTCTTTGTTGCAGCAGGTATGTTCCCCTTAAATTGAGTCCTTAAGAAGTCCTGAAAAAGACTGTGGAAAAGCTTGTTGGCAGTTCTCTCCCTGCCATATAAAATATAAACCCCTTTTCTGGATCGAGGGCACTAACAACATCACACCAGGCAAATTTCTCAAGACAAAAGCATGGTATTGAAGCTCTAGAATAAGTAGATTCTAGAAAAGCTTTTTGTTTTCCTGCAAAGGGAAGCTGAATTCAGTAACAAGCGGGTTTTGCACTATTTAAAATGTATTAAACATTAGATGAATCAGACATCTCTTACATCCAGGGCCTTTTTCTTTTCTATGGTGGCAGAAAATATTCACCTGTGATAGGTGAGCCCATTTTTCACACTAGAAACATCGGAGAGAGCAAGCCACATTGTTAATAGCTTTCCCTGAAGCCCAGATTAAGCATGCTGCATATAGATGAAATTCAGCAAGGTGGAAGAGAGCTTATCTTGATCAAGGTGAACAGCCATAGCCCTGAGCTCAAAATGTATTTTTATTATCCTGAATGTTAGGATCCCACTAACGATATTAGTGAGCTCCCAAATGCTACTTCTTTCCCACTGTGGCAATGAAGAGGTGGGAGTAAATTCTGATGAACATATTGAGGTCCATGCGAGCGTATGTGACCAGATGTGGATCTGCTCTGTGTTTTTCAAGAATAAATGAAACCTGGAGATAAATGGAAGAGTAACTAAATGTAATAAAATTTCCTTGTAATAGTCTTTGAACTAATCAGGTCCAGAAAGTAACATGGCTTCAGTTTTATCCTCCCAGGCACATAACCACTGATTTATGTTTTTCTGCCTCTAGGACTAAGTAATATCATAGGGATCATTGTCTACATATCAAGCAACACAGGTGACCCAAGTGACAAACGAGATGAGGACAAAAAGAACCATTACAACTATGGTTGGTCTTTTTATTTTGGAGCCTTGTCTTTCATCGTGGCTGAAACCATAGGTGTTCTGGCTGTGAACATTTATATTGAGAAGAACAAAGAGCTGAGGTTTAAGACCAAGAGGGAATTCCTTAAGACTTCTTCCAGTTCTCCTTATGCCAGGATGCCAAGTTACAGGTACAGGAGGCGGAGGTCCAGATCCAGTTCTCGGTCTACAGAACCTTCTCCATCTAGAGACATTTCTCCAGTTGGCATGAAGATAGCAAGCACCATTCCCATGAATGAAAAGAGCCTTTGAAGGTTACAACAGCTGCCAGCTACAACGCAGACCAAGAAGCTAGTTTTCTGCAGGTTCACAACTTCCTTCAGAAGGAATTTAAGGAAGGACTCCATGTCAACATGGTCAACAGGAGAACGACGCCTGTTTGAAGCACCTTCCTTCCCCGTGCTTTTTGAAGAAATACCGAAAGAGAACGGATCGGTCATGGAAGAGAAGGAGCAATGTTAAAATACCCTCTCACCTCTTGAATTGTGGCATGTGTTGAGGTAGCAAGTGGAGATCCTCTGGACCAACATAATGATATTACACACTCGTAGCTTTTTTCGAAGCTATTTGGAGTTTGTTTCTTTCAGTTCTTGGTGTCACAAAATGAAGGCGGTTCATGTTCCTGCACTTCTGTAGTGTGTACAAAGTCTTGGAGAAACTGCAAAGGACTGGCCACCAGTGTGTTTTAAAGGGTTACAGAGAAATTGTTGTACTACTTCTTTTTTTCTAATGTTGAGATCCCTTCATACAAACTTGCAAATATAATTTATAACCAAGCCCAAGGATGAATACGAACTGCTCCTCAAGTGAGCCACTTCCCTTTGACACAGCATAAGCTTTGCCTCTTTCCAAAAAAAAAAGGAAAAAAAAAAAAAAGAAAAAAAAAAAGAAAAAAGGGAGTATTTTTGAAGGCAACACTTTCTAAAACTGACCTGTGCTACTGAAACCATAGAGCACTCGCATGCTGAGCATTACAGACTTCTTGATGGGGTGTATGGGGGTTTCCCATCTCTGGTGTAAGTCATCCCTCGGGGCAATGCAGGTAGGGGAGAAGAGGGTGGGTGCATCCTGAAACACCTAAAAAGGGAAGGATTAAAGTAGGTGGGACTTGAGCATATTTGCAAATATCATTTCTTGCCTAACATTTAGAAAACTTGAATTCTCGTTTCGACTAGCCCTAGTGCCTGATCTGGCAAGGTGCTGAGTGCTGTCTGTCAGGAGCCCCTATAGACTACTTATAGCAAGAGTGAGAAGCAGAGCTGAGCCAGGGTGGCCGGTTCCCTGCGACTGCATTCCTGTTTTCCTTACTGCTTCACAAGTGCAACACTAACGCTACTGGAAACTAAGATACCTAAGCAATGTGCGTGAGAAAATGAGAAGCTAATATGTTCGGACTAGCCAAACTTCCTGCAGCGATGGGGACTGAATGTTAACAGAACGGATGACAACTTTGTATTTTTTAAACCAGAACAAAAATAATCACCGTTTATGAGATATTTATTAAACTCTTTTTATTATGAATAAGTGCCGCATGGTGCAAGGTATAGTTGCTTTTAGATGGGAATGATGGTTCGATCCAATTTAATTTATTTTGTAATGACGAGTCTACTGACGTGCAGAGAGCCCAGAGACAACTCTATGCATCACCTAAGGGGGGAACTAATTTGTACCCTTTGCTTCTGTATGTTTCTGAAAAAGTCTGAAATATTCCTTTCCTTTCAAATTCCCGCTTTCAGTTTTTACACCTAGGCTTGGAATCTCAAAGCTCGAGGGCCTGACTCAAAGGTAATTTAATTTAGTAGCTACTCATGTTAATTTTAGTGACCACTTGACCAAGCCATATGAGAATGAGGTGCCCAATGCCCCTGGGAAGAATTAGGTGCAGTGAGAGAGGAGCATCTAATTCCTGTAGGTTCCTTTGAATATACCCATCGTCTTTGGCCAGAAAATCTTTGCTACCAGAAGACTAGAGAAGTGGTGACAAGAAAAAAGTCATGATTTGGAAAACGTGGCTCACTGATAGTGGGAGATCTCAGCCAAACTGTTAAAACCTCTTTAGTCTTAATTCATCCTGCGACTCAGTGGTGTTTTGGATACGAGGCTTTCAGCTAGTGGAACCAAGTCCTCCAGGGAAATCCCGGAGGAGCTGCCTTAAACAACCCAAAAAGCAAGTTGAATCCCTTCTCCCCTCCAGGTAAACCCTGCTTAAGCCTCTCTCCTTGCAAGAACCAAGACACAATTCTCAATTATAAGCTAAAGTCTTCCCCTAGTCGCTGTTAAGCTCTGCCTCGCCCTCAGCCTGGCAGAGCAACACGGTTATTTTGGCGGAGGTGGGTTGGAGCCTTCATCCCTGCTTATTAAGAGTTTCCATCCATTCAGGTTAAAACTCTGCTGGGATCCTTTTTCAAACCTCTGAACTCTGAGACCTAAAGTGAATGGAGTGATGGGAACAATTGAAAAGTAGAAAATGTTGTGCTACTTTCTGTATCAACACACTATGGAGAAAGATGTTACACAAGCTTTTTAAAGAAAAAATTCAGAGGCAGACAAGAAAACTTTTTTACCTACTTTTCGGCTAGGACAACATAAAAGAGTTCTAAAATTATTAAAGTTCTTGATGAAAGGTTTTTTTTACAAGAATCTTTATGCTTTCAAACAATAAATTATTTCCTACTTTTTGAGACTTCGTAATATTCAAATACTTTGATTAGCTATGATAGAAGTAGAAGTTTGCAATGAAAACAAAAAATCAACCTTCTGTCTCATTAGTGTGTCATACTAAGTGCTAATTAATTTACATCTAATTATAGTCGATGTATTTTTCAAGTGCAATTTCCCAGAACTATTTGTTTCCCACTGTGTTAATAAAACTAATAGTTAGAAATAAGTCCTCATTCGTGTTTACTGTAATTAAGAATAAAACCATTCCCTTTAAAACCAGGAGTTAGATATAGGCTGTTTTTCTAAGCTCATGTCCATTGAACTGGAAGTTGACAGTGTGAGGTTTGCTTCGCGCGTTGGTTTTGTTCTTTTAATCATCATTCTCCAGTGAATGTGTTTAAAACCAACCACCTGATTCCAGATAAAGCCCAGGGCTTTCCTACAGCCCGGGTCAGACCTGCAGAGGCACATGCAGTATTTTTACACCACGTCAACAAAAGAGTCTTACCGAGTGTTTTGGGATGTTCCTCTTTGCCAGAGCCTCTTCCCCAGAGCAGGGCTGGTTTCAGCAGCTCTCCAAGCACAATGTCCTGCTTCAGTCTGAGTCCTTCTCCAGAAGGCACCTTTGAAAATGGAGCTGGTGCGAGCAAGTATTCGTGGGGTGCTCACGGGATACAGGGTATGGACAGGGAACAAAGGCACAGGGAGATAACAGGGACCAGAGCTTTCGTCCTGTGGGAGAATGGGGGCTGACATTTAAAACTCACGGTCTATGTCAAATTGCAGCACAGTAATAACAATAATTACTAATCAAAGCAAAAAAAAGAAATGTTTCATTTAACACTTCCAGTAAAACCAAAAATTCCCCACAAATTTTTCCAGTGAAAAACTTTGATTCTGACAAAAGCGAAAGATTCGCGTCATTCCTGCCCATGAGCAGTGTCTTGCTCCATGGCTGATCTGCCTGAACAGAAGATTGTGCTCAGAGTCTGAAGCCACTCAGTGATAGTTAATAAAAGATAAAAGTAAAAATCATCAGTTCTTCCACATCTCTTTGTTTTCCCTGGACAGCACCGAACAAATTAGCCCCCATTTCTCAACAAGGCCTGCAGATACCATCATCACACCATTAACACAAAAATCAGCCTTTTGGTGTTATTCTGTAACACACTGTAAGAGCAGACCTAAATAAAAAATGACATGGGATCAGGCTCTATTTTCCAGGAAACAAAGTTTCAGGTATATCATCAGCTCTCTTCCTAGTTTCTCGTACACAATAGGAGTAAAAGGAGAAATCGCTTCATGTGCCCGTACATCTAACAGTAAACTATTTTTATATTTCCTTTTCTTTCTGTATGGATCACATATCCACAAGGGCTAATATACCACGTCCCTTGAGGTTACCTTTCTGTCTGCAGTTCTAAAGTGTTATTTCCACTGTGTTTCAGTTCTACTGGTATAATCACAACCATGTATAATGTACTTAATCCTTACTTTTTAAATAAACCATTTTAAATGTATTGATTTTTTTGTGTGGAGAAAGGTATATAGATGCTTAACTTCCAAATTCTCTGTGTGTTTGTCGTTTCCACATTTCTACCTAATTTGATTGCAGCTGGGAATGTTAGAAGCCAGAATATCAAAGGAGAGAAAAGTAATCTTGTGGTCCCCTAGACCACCACCACAAGCTATCTTCACAGTATTTGGATTAGAAACTAAGAAAAACCTTCTCGTTTCCAGCTTAAAATTGGCTCATATGAGACACACTCTGGTTTCAGTGCCTGGTTTGGGAGCGGTATAGTGGCCAGAGGCGCTGCAAAGAAAACATCAAGAAAAATAAACCAGTGTCTTCTGAAGTGCTAGCCCTAACCCTGTGCTTTGCCTCCACCTTTTGAGATTTCATATACATTCACTTCCAAGCATCTTCCCCTCCCTGATCTTGTCCATTTCTGGCTGAAGAAAGCTCAACCCTGCGTGCTGAAGCTCCACGAAAGCCTTGCTCTGATCACCACTATAAAAACAGCAGTTCAGCAACCTCTGGCTGCTCCCAGACATGCCAAACCATCCCTGTATCACAGACTCTATTTCTTCTTCAAATACTTCTTTTAACTTTATCTTCCAACTTCCTAAGCCTCCAGATTGTTGTTAAAGATGAAGACTGCCTGTGTACATCAGCCTCTCCTCCTGCATATGATCAACCAGCATGTCTGGAGGGAGGCAGGGATTCACCTTTTCAAATGTCTCTGAACCCCAGGAGCCATTTAAAGCTCTAGCCCAAAGCTGGCTCCCTTGAACTAAAAGAAAGGTTTTTCCCACACTGCTGAGCAAGTCTGTGGGTAAATAGTGACCCAAGAGCTGTGGCTGCCTTGCTGTGAACAGGGATGTATCGAAGCATCGTGTTGTTTGAGGGGGAAGCAAAATGTAAGGCTTCAGAAAGTGGGAAAATAGTCCGGTGAGGAGGATGTGGCATTTCCTTGGAATGAGAAAACTAACAGACATGGGAGGTGCCGAAAATAAAAGGGAATGAGGAGTGTTCTGCACCTGTCTGCAAAGCAGCTCGTCTTACAGCTCCTCTGCAGTGAAAGGGATCGCTTACCGAACTGGCACTCTGGGCATGGTGCTCCGTATGGGAAGAGAACTGTGGATCAGGCACAGTGGTGGGATGGTCAGCCCTGCCTGCGCTCCACGGGCTGTGGGGATGGCATGTCCAGAGGCTGGAGCAGGATCATGTCTCCTATTCATGCCCACGGGAGGCTATCGAAAAATGAAAACAACTGAAACACACACATTTTGCTGTTGCCTTCAGTGGCAGCAGGATTTCAGCCCCAGAATTAGGGAGCTTTTGGAATCACAGAGTAGTTTGGGTTGGAGGGGACCTTCAAAGGTCATCTCGTCCAATCCCCCTGCAATGAGCAAGGACATCTTCAACTAAATCAGGTTGCCCAGAATCACATCCAGCCTGGCCTTGAATGTTTCCAGGGATGGCACATCCACCACCTCTCTTTGGAGGGTGTCATTGGTGGTACTCACAAGTATCATCTATGCAGAGCCAAGCGTGATTATGGTAGTCTCATCAATCTGGAGCAATTCAGGCTCAGGAACTCAAATATTGCCAAGGAGCTCCCGTTTGAAGAAAGCTGTTTGCTGAAAACACATTTGAGATGAGAGCAGACTGAGCAACCTCCTCTGCTC